AGCATTGTTATGCAGAATGATTCGGAGTTTTTAATTGTTTACAAGAAAACTTCTGGAAATAGTTGTATCCCACTCAGAAATTAGAGTTCTACGATCTTTAATTGGAATAGTAGTCACATGTCCACTTTTCGACACCATGCAGATAATTTTTTGAGACATTGCGACATCACATGACTTGTTTTATTTTGCTTTATGTTGAAACACCTTAAATGCAATTTTCGTTGCCATTACCAAATTTGAGGTTCTATTGTTTAAGTGTCTAAGCTTGATCTCAAGTAAATTGGGTGGAATGCAACGCGAACATAATATTTTCACGCCTTAGTATTCATGTGTGTTCATTCAACATTGAATTTATGTGTATTTACAAATTTGTATGTCAATTATCTAATAATTACAGTGTTGCCACATTACGAAATTAAGGCAGTACCTCTCGTACTACTCTTACTCTTTTACTTTTTCGTACACATACATCTTACTAATTGCCAGCACTCATTATCAATAGGTAAAAGTTATCCGCATTTCCTTTTATTTTAATATATAAACACATCGACAATAATTATAAAGAAACAGATTTTAAATGTAATTTATTTCACTATTTTATAGACTAGTCGACATAGTTGTGAATGTTCCACTCCACAATTGAAATTTTAAATGTCAAAAAGTCAAATAATGTGTTTGTTTATGTTTTATATGACATTTTAATAGCATATTATATTATCTCTTGATAAGAAGTAATGCTTATATTTAATTGATTAGTTATTTATATTTTTTTAACATTTTTTTAGTCAATTGTGTTCTTATTGCTAAGAACAAATAATAATAAAAAAAATTCTTATAATAAGAACAAAACTAAATTCTCTAATTTTCCATTTCACCCTAGGCTCAAAAAATTTGTCTTCAGTAATCTTTGATAAAAATGAACTCAACTTATTGAATCTAGGTCTCAAATACTCCATTCCGAGGAAGGTTTCTGAAAAGGACCTTCAGAGTCTCTCCATTGAGCTAGATGTTATCATCCAGAATCTCTCAATCCCTCTAAATCATAAAACTTCAATTAGAAACTCTTGCTATAAAACTATCCATAAATTCAAAAACAAAAATTTTCCATCATCTTCTACTTCTTTCAATAACTCTACTTCCAACACTCAATCGAACACATCCATCAACTCATCATCCATCAACCTACCTTCTACTTCTCAAAATTATTTATTCAATGTTTCTTTTCCACAATTTTCATACAAAAAACAGAAAGACCAGCTCCAAATCCTCAAGTCTATTCAAAACAAAATTAAATCTTACAATCTAATTATTAGTAAAGCAGACAAAGGCAATTGCCTAGTCATCCTTGATCAAAATTTATATAACGACAAGGTCACTACTTTTCTGTCAGATAACAATTTCACCCTACTCCCTGAAGATCCAACAAAAAAAGTTCATTAACAAAATTAAAGCCACCAATAAACTTTTCACAGATTTTCTTTCAGAACACGATGCCCCATATTATAAAATACCCAGTAACCCATTAACATCCAGATTGTATGGTTTAACTAAGATACACAAATAGGGCGTTCCCATCCGTCCCGTTGTTAGTTTCATAAACACTCCAGTTTCTATCTTGTCAAAATTCATATTGAATCTCATTAACAACATGACGAACTTCACCCCTCGTTTTTCAGTCAAAAATACCATTCATCTAGTCAACAATCTCCAACAAATAAATCTTCATCCCAACATCACAATGCTTTCATTCGATGTTAGCAATCTGTTTACTTCAGTCTCCAAACAAGAAACTATTAATCTGGTCCACTTTCTTCTACGAGCAAATTCTATCACTATGTCTACTACTAACTCAATTATTCAATTATTACAAACTTGTCCAGCTCAAGACTTTTTTGTTTTCAATAGTAAATTTTCCAGACAACCTGATGGCTTAGCCATGGGTAGTTGTCTTTCCCCTCTCCTAGCTGATATATTTATGGATCACTTAGAATCCACACACATTATGAAAAATCCTGAAATTCTCCATTGGTTTCGATATGTTAATGACTGTTTAGTCTTCATATCAGGTAACTCTAATTCAGCTGATCTGTTACTCTCTAAAATTAATCAAATTCACCCAAACATAAAGGTTCAATATGGAACTAGAGTCGTCTCAATCTATTAATTTTCTCGACCTTACCATTACCAGATTAAACGACCATTTCGATTTCAGAATCGATAGGAAACCTACACAAACCGACCATATCATACCTTTATCTTCCAACCACCCAATGTCACATAAATATGCAGCTTTCCATAGTTACGTTCAACGCCTAGAAACAATCCCACTATCACAATCCAACTACCACACAGATTTCAAACAAAAACACCACACACCACACAACAAAAGAACTTAAACAAATAGCATCCAACAATGGGTATGACCCCAACCTTATCAATAAACTAATACATAAAAGACAACTCAAATCATTGAGAGAGGCTGCGTTTCCCAGAGACTTGACCATCAAACCTCATTATGCTTCTTTACCATACCTTCAAGAACGGCTTTCTGGAGATATCAGATATATTCTAAAAAGATATGTTGAGAATACCCACATTTCTTTTAAAATCCTGAACAATCTAGGACAATCTTTAACTAATTCGAAAGATCCCATCAATTACATGAATCGTAGTGGTGTTTACAAATTACAGTGCTCTGATTGTGATGCTACATATATAGGTAGAACCTGTAGATCACTAACTTCCCGTTCCCTAAAACACACTAAAAAAGAGAACACTTCCACGTTCTCACAACATCTCGCACAACATAAACATTCCCTCAACATCCCAAGACGTCTCTTTGTTGCACAATATCTCTCAAAACAATTTTCTAAAATTAGATCTATATGAAGACTTGGAAATAGTCAAAGAAAAGCAGAGAAGCCCCAACTGCGTTAATCGCCATGTATCTTTCAACCGTGACTTTCAACCCTTACATCGACAACTCTTCTCATAGTCCACATTTCTCAAATTTGCCCCACCTTCTTTGCCCGACCTTCCTACATAAACATCAATACCTTTAATCTTATACAATAATTGTGTTTTCTTTAAACAATCAATCTCTTTACACCATCGTCACAATTTTTTCCGACCCCATTATTAACTTCATAACCATCCAACACCCGTCACACCTCACTATTTAATAATTTTCTCCACTCTTCACGTCTACATCATATTCCTGTCCATTCTTCTTTCTTTGTTTATTTCTCGGTCATTTCATATATCAATAAGTTACTCATCAGTTCTAAACCATTGCTTCCCTCTCTTGGTCAACAACTTAGTAGCACACACACAAACACACATCAAATTTCAGTTTTTTTTATCAACCGAATTTAACACAACAAAATAGATTTTGTTCAGAGTGCTAGATGCTTTCAGCATGAAGGACCTCTATTACCTCTAATTGTTGATTAACTCATTTACTTTCTTTAAACCCCACCCCCCCTTCTTATTCAGTCATTTTCTTTACCTTGATTCTTATCTGGGAAGCTCAGCCTTTTCAATTTTAAATTTAACTCCATAATTTATAACTTTAATTCTTCAGCCAGAAGATTTATAACCCTTCTCTTTTCAATTTATTAGACTTACTTATATTAATTTTTCCACCATACGAGTAGTCTTAAACAATTTCATTTAAACACGAGGTCTTAGAGTAACATAGGTTGCCCAATGCACACGTCATTTTCTCAAACATGACCTTTAATACCATAAGTAATTTCAAATATTTTATATCTAAAATTAAATAATTAAAATTTTTAAAATCCCAACACCTGGATTGCTGTTATTTTTTAACATCATAAAAGTTTTTGAATCTTTTGGCTGTAGTAATACTATGTATAATTAACATTGTTTCATGGTGCATTGACATTTTGTTTTCGACACCGTTCATAAGTATCTTGTCAATCAGTTACCAGCTGGAGCCCGTTTGAAGAGGTTTACTCTCCGGCCACTGGGACTCACCGGAGAGAATGAGATAACAAAACCGCCAACGATAGAAGAACTTGAAAGGGTAATCAAACTGCAGAAAAATAACAAGACCTCTGGATGTGATGGAATACCCGCAGAATTGTTGAAGTTGGGAGGAAAGCAAATAATGAAAAGGATATATGAAGTTATACACAGAATAAAGAGACAAGAGAACATGCTAAAAGAGTGGAATAAGAGTATCATCTGCCGAATCCATAAAAGGTCTATAAACTCATTTGTCAAAACTATAGGGGAATCTCCATGCTGTGTTATGGATATAAAATATTTACCAGTATACTTAAAGAGACTACAGCGTCTCGCAGAGATCTTTCTATGCCATGCTGGATTATCGGTCGTCGGCTAGTAAATTTGGTATACTCATTTTGTTGACGACAGCTGGAAAAAGATGCAGATCACGTAAACCATTTCCTCAGATTTCTAAGCCATGGCGTTTTTCTTCGAGCTGGCCCTTTTCTTCCAGAGAAGATTATCGGAGAATATCAGGCGCGATTTAACCAAGGAATATCAACCATCGAAAAACTATTCATGGTTAAGTAGGTCTTAAGCAAAGCCTGGGAACATGACATACATGCCTCTAATTTTTTGGTCGACTTTTATGACTCAATAAACAGGACCCAATTATAGAAAATATTAAGTGAATTTAAAATACTGTCCAAACTAGTTTGGCTCATCCGAATGACAACTTTAACTGTTGATTGTTGATGTTTTCTTTAACTATTTGACAAAATATTTGATTAAAAGGTTACTGATTGTTTTTTTTTATTCTGTATCATTACTTCTCGCAAAACGCAAACAACACTATAATGTTGGCAGGCAGAATAAATCTGAAATTACTATTATAAATATCTAGTAAGTAGTCGATAGCAGACACTTAACATAATTTATAGATATAGACGAAATCAAAAGTTTCTATTTATAATGTTTTTTTTTTCATTACAGTGCAATAGAAAAATACTGGACACCCCTAACTGCCAATGTCAAGCCAACCTTATCGATTTCTACCACAGATACCATACTTCAAACCTGGTATAGCATCCCCTGCTCCAGTAATGTCTTCCCAACGTTTTTGTCTTCGATGGAACAACCATCAATCCAATTTACTTTCAGTATTTGATCAATTACTACATGATGAAAGTTTTGTAGACGTAACTCTTGCTGTTGAAGGACAGTTGCTCAAAGCCCATAAAATGGTATTATCAGCATGCAGTCCATACTTTCAAGCCCTGTTTATGAATCATCCTGACAAACATCCTATTGTGATATTAAAAGATGTCCCTTATAATGATATGAAGTGTTTACTTGACTTCATGTATAGGGGTGAAGTAAGTGTTGACCAAGATAGACTTACAGCGTTTTTACGAGTAGCCGAAAGTCTTAAAATAAAAGGGTTAACTGAAGTAAATGAAGAAAAATGTGATAGTATAGCTTCCTCTCTCACCCAACAAAATTTACACAATTTGCCAAATTTACAAAGATTGCAACAAACCAAAAGGTTTGGAAATAGTTTAAATATGTTAAGCAATGCGTTACTACAACCTAAAAGGAAAAGAGGCAGGCCTCGGAAACTTTCTGGATGTTCAAATGGACCAGATGATTATGACAAGGACATTGTTCAAGGTAGTCCGGAGATGTTAGAAGTTAAGATGGGAATGGATAATTTTACAGGCAATAATTCTGACGCGAGTGTGAAAAATGAAGCTGAAGCAGACGATGACAAGGTAAAAGACGAAACGGATCCAGTGCCTGGATCATCAAATGACCAGACAACAAAATATAATCATCAAGATCACGAAGACTTTCATCCTTCAGGTGAGTTTATCTAAAATAATATTAATTAAGTTTTAACATATTTTACAAATTTGTCTAACAAATATCTATTTTTCATCTATATATTAATATAGTAGAGCGTTTTTTTATATTTGATATCGTTGCTATGTAATTTCAATCTATTAGAAATTTTTAACGTTTTTTACCACCATTTTACATATTAACTTAAATATTTTGTTATTAATACTTTATAATTTAATAAATGATCAGTTGTAGATTATAAGTCATAAAAAGTTACTGTGGTAAACTATTTATAGTTTGATGCCATACCGTTGTTTAAATTAGAATTCTGTGATCACATTTATTTTTCTTTAATTCTAATAGTTCAGATGGGATCTGTTTAGTGTACTGAGCCCAAACTTCGATACGATCCATTTGAAAAATAAATGGAAAAATTTTACAAGGAAAAATCGGCGTTACAGACACCTATCTTTTATTTTTATTCTGGATATCTCAAAAATCATATATAAGACGAACATTAATAGAGATAGATTGCTCAATGAAATTTCCTAAAAAAATATGCTTTTGCAAAAATCTCCAGTGAATAAAATTGAAAATGTCCGAAAAAATGCAAAAATAACGTTTTGGGAACTTTCTTATGGGAAATCCGAAAACTGAAAAGTTCTTGGCAAAACAATGACAAAAGAAAACTATATCTTGTTTTTTATTATAATTTTGCATTCAAATTTTCAAAATTCTGCTGCAGTAAAATTAATGAAGATGTATCTTTCGAATACAAAATATCCTGATTTTTCAAACTTTTATATTGAAAATTAAGCTTACGAAAAATCATTGAATTTTTCAATAATTTGTTAGGTTATGTTATTAATTTTTGGTTAACTTTTAAATAGTAATTTTTTATATATTTTTCTTTCATTCTTTTAAATGACTAAAGCAGAATTTTCAATTTCTGGGCGGAAAATCAAAAAAATAGTTTTTCACTCACTTATTTGCACACAACCTCAAAACTTAGTTGGTATTTCAACATTTTTTCTTCCACATTATCAAAATCCATAGTAAAAGTCCCCACTTTCAGAAAGATAAAATTCGAAACTACCACGTTTTTTGTCCTTTTCGCACTTTTTTTACCTTACCTCAAAATCAGATTATTCCATCTATTTTCTTACGGGCTATGAATCATCATTGATAAAATAATCATTTTTAACTTACAAATTCTCAAATTGCGAAAAAATCGTGATTTATCTAATCATATATTTTATCTAATCTAATATTTTCCCACTTTATTGGCGCATAACCTTAAAATCTAGTGGCTAAATGATCGAATTTCCACATATTTTTGATCGCACACTTCTATTTTGTTGTACCACTTGTCTTTTTTTCTTAAATAGTCAAAAAAAACTCTAGCTCTATGATTGACCCTTCCTTATCGCTTGTCATCGCTTTTAATCGCTATCACTTTTTGTGCGCAAGTCTTAGCTGATAATGTATATCGCCTACATATAGTCTAGTGCCAAATGTTTATCAAAATAAGTAAGTTACTAGATAATGATAGAGCACGTCTATGGGATAAATCATCCCTTTGTCCTAAAAAAATCCCGAGCTGTATTGAAATTCTAGAAGTAGTTGGTCAAAATGAAGTTTGAGTTGAATATTATAATTGCCATATATCATATAGGCGCGCGTATCGTACTCTATTGGCTAACACAGCAAAAGCGATACGAAGGCGACGGCGCGGCGGTACGAAAGCGAAACCAACACCAAGGCGAAAGCTGTGACGACAGAAACAATGTCTGTAACGCGCATACTTCTATTGTCGTTGTCATAGTTACGAATCGTGTGCGTAGCAGACATTGCTGTTGTCGCCACTGCTTTCGTCGTAGTGTCGCGCCTTCGTATCGCCTTCGTGTCGCCATCGCCTTCGTGTCGCCATCGCCTTCGTATCGCTTTGACTGTGTTAGCCCATAGAGTACGATACGCGCGCCTATAGAATATATGGCAATTATAATATTCAACTCTGAAACTTCGATTTGACCAACTACTTCTAGAATTTCAATACGACACGAGATTTTCGATATTAACTCGCACCGGATTTTAGGACAAAGGGATGATATATCCCAAAGGCGTGCTCTATCATTATCTAGTAACTTATTTATTTTATTTTATCTTATATTTATATCTCTTATATTTATTATTTTTAAAAATAGATGGAAAAGATTTGAGATAAGGTAGAAAAAAGTGCGAAAAGGATAAAAAACATGGTATTTTCGAATATTATCTTTATGAAAGAGGTAAATGGTGACTTTTACAATGTATTTTGATAATGTGGAAGAAAAAAATGTTGAAATATGTTGAAGTATCAAATAAGTTTTGAGGTTATGTGCAAATAAATGTTTTTTTTATTTTTCGATGGTTTCCGCTCAGAAATTGAAAATTCTGCCTTGTCCATTTAAAAGAACGAAAAAAGAATACATAAAAAAATTACTATGTAAAAGTTAGCCAAAAATGATTAACATAACCTAAAAAATTATTGAAAATTTCAATGATTTTTCCGGAGTTCAATTTTCAATATAAAAATTTGAAAAAATCAGGTTATTTTGTATTCGAAAGATACATCTTCATGAATTTTTTCAGATTTTTTAAAGTAAAATTGCGTTTAGAAAAAAATCAAGTCGAAAAAAGCTTATTTTTTAGATTTCAGAGGTTCTATGGGCTTTGGGAAGCTAAAAATTTGTGTGAAGTCATGTTTTCATATGCTTTATTAAAAGCACAAGTCGCGGTGCTGATCAGTGCGAGGGCACTTTTGACCATCTTATCCCGCTATAGCCTTTGTACTACTCATTTGTATCTGAAAGTCAATACATTTCGACTATTTGCAAACGAAAATGTCAACAATAAAAAAACACTTTCAAACGTTTTTTATGAATACCTCAAAATGTGTGAATTTTATCAAAAAAATTATTCTTATAAAAAATGTAGCTTATCTGTATTTTTCTCGAGAATTTTTTATTCCCGAGAGGGATTGGCACTCCTCCCCCAGGGTAAAATCACCGTGCGGCAAAGGATCAACTTTAAAGTAGAGTAAGTACAACCTTTAGCCAAATTTTGATGCAAACTGGTGCAGGCTGAGAAAATTATATAGTTACAAGTACATAGTACTTATAAAGCTAGGCGATCGTAGTGGGGGAGCCAAGTTACAATGTCTTGAAAACCAAAATCGAGATTTCAAAATAATGTCAAGCTCAGTAATTTTCAATATCTCGATCTTTAACGAACCGATTTTCATCTTGCAAAATTAAAAGCTTGTCTACTCTATACGTAGAAAATCAGCACTTTATATATCACAATTTTTACTCATTAATTTCTTTCTGCTACTGGTTTGAGATAACTGTATTTTTTCTCGCGAATTCTTTACTTTGACTTATTGGAATTATTATTTACTAGTTGCACAAGCATATTATTTTGATAGGCGTTAATTGTGAACAATTTTAATTGCACTCATTATTTTCATAGATATGATCCTGTCCGAGAGATATATGATAAAATGTGTAAAAAGCAGTCTACAGTGTCGCTTTTTTCCTTATAAAATTTCTCCCGATTTTCCCGCTGGTTTTTCAGCTGGAGCGTATCGAAATTATAATTATAAACACAGAGACATTTCTACAAAAATTAAACTTTCTCCCCACTACAACCAAGCTATTTTGGTACAGATATCGACTGGATCTGTAAAGTAGGTGCAATATTTTGAACGGTTAATCTTTTTGGAGTAGTGACTTAATTGTCATTTAAAATATTTTTTATTCCCTAATGATCTGACAGGTTTTAACTTGTGTTTAAATAGATAGGTACTGCACATGCCAATGACACACCACATTTTAATTCCATTGCAGTTTCAGATGATTTTCTTTGTTATTTTCGTAAATGTGAGTGAAGGGAAAAGCTATAGTGGTGTCAAATAGTGATATTTTTTGTTTTGTGCATCATGTTCGAGGTGAGTTATCAACATTTTTACTGATAAGGGAAGAGTTAAAGGAATGAGCCATTTTTGTGAAGTAGGCTAATCTGTTTTTCAAAAAAGTCCACCAGTTTTGTAAAATGTGACATGATTTCAGGATGCATAAATTGGATACTAAGTGTGGTTAAACTGCAAATTATTTTTAATTAATTTTACGTTTTTTTGTGTATAATGTTAATTTTGTATTTGTAACTTAATATAAAGTTTAGTTCATTTCGATGAGATTATAATTGTTATTCACTAGGCAAAATATTGCAAACAAAGTGAATGAATCAAACGGACACTTTGTACGCAAACATTTGGATATGGAATCTGCCCACTGCATTCGTTGTGTTCTCATTGACGACGTGGGAAACGCATTCAGCGTGTTCGAATGAAGTTAATTCACTTCAGTAAGCAAAATGCTATAAACGAGTATTTTCTAAAAATGATATGATGTAGATATAAAAATGTCCATTTCATTTATTCATATTCAAATTTCATACAATTATACTAACATTTCATTTTTAGTTATATCCTTTTATTGAAAATAATAGATAAAAATTAATCGTAAACTATTATTACAGTAAGTCTTACTGTATATTTATTTTATCAAATATTGTAGTGTGAAATCATCAACTGAATTAATTTATTGTAGATTTTTTTTGTACTGCTCTTAAAATGTTTCATTCTGTAATTCCATTCCTCCAATGGCACTACAGCCAAGTTCCAGCTGTTGTTCTCCATAAAAGTGTTTTTATGTTTTGACATCCTCATCTACTTCATGCTCCCATCTCTTTTTTGGTCTTATAACAGGTCTGTTTCATTGCATTCTTTATTGCATTTAGCAATTGTCTGGTAATAGAATAGGTAATAAGTATTCGCTCATAACGCATGTCGCTCGGACCATAGGATGGTATCATATTATCATCGCCAGGTAAAATAAATGCATTATTTTAAAAATGATAGCGTTCACCGTCATAGCGTAGCGCCCAGCCTCGAGCCAGATATCGGACCATAGACTTGGACC